CATCTTGGAATTCATTTATTAAATCTGATAGTTTTTTGGTGGAGTCTTTAGTGTTTTCTATGTACAATATCAGGTCATCTGAGAATAATGACAGTTATATATCTTCCTTTCTAATTTGGATGTCTTTTATTTTTTCTTGTCTGATCACTCTGGCTAGGACTCCCAGTACTATACAGACAGTCCATGGGTTATGTTCAACTCGACGTACGTTGTTTCGTGGTCACGTCGCCATCTCCCATTTAGTTATAAAAAAAAAAGTTCCGTCATTTCGAAGCATGTACATATGTGCTTTATGTTTTTTATTATTTATTTACCACAAGTAAAGGTCAGGAATTGTTATCTTTGTTTTAAATTTTTTTTACTGTTTCACTTCATTACTGCTGTGTATGTGCTCCATGTGAGGACGTAGGTGCTTATGTAGGTGGGTTCTGACTTACGGCGAAAATTGCATTACATCGCGCCATAGGAACTGATCTCCGACGTAACCCTAGGACCTACTGTATTGATAAAAGTGGTGAAAGCGGACAACCCTGTCTTGTTCCTGTTCTTAGGGGAAATGGTTATAGTTTTTACCCATTGAGTATGATGTTGGCTGTAGGTTTGTCCTGTAAGGCATTTATTATGTTGAGGTGTGTATGATTCTTCTATATCCACTTTGCTGAGAGGTTTTTTTTCTTCAAAAATGGGTGTTGGACTTTGTCTAAATGCTCTTTTTGCATCTATTAATATGATCATTTGATTTTTATTTTTCAATTTGATTACGTGTTGTATCACATTTATTGATTTGCGAATATTATATCAGCCTTGCAATCCTGAAATCATGATATTTGATCTTTTTAATATAATACTTGATCCAATTTGCTAATATTTTGTTGAGGATTTTAGCATCTATGTTCATCAGGGTATTGGACTGTAATTCTCTTTCTTTGTAGTGTCTTTATCTGGTTTTGGAATTAGGATAATGCTGGCCTCATAAAAAGAGCTTAGAAGTGTTCCTTCTTCTTTGATTTTTTTGGAATAGTTTGAGGAAGATAGGTGTTACTTCTTCTTTGAATATTTGGTAAAACTTCACTGTGGAGCCATCCGGGCCAGGGCTTTTATTTCCTGGGAGGTTTTTTGTTGTTGTTGTTTTGGTTTTAATTTACCTTTATTGTTGAAAGTATTACAGATGTCCCCTCTTCCGTCCCCTCTCCCCCCATTTACACCTTCCACCTCGCTTCTGTCCCCTTTCCTGGCCTTCCCTGCACTATTGTCTATGAGCTATGCATATATGCAGATGTGTTCATTGACTAATCTGGCCCCTGCTCCCCCCCCTCTGAAATATGTCAGTCTATTGCATGCTTCCATATCTCTTGATCTTTTTTGTTCATTTTATTTTATTATTATTTTTTAAAAATATATATTTTATTGATTTTTTTACAGAGAGGAAGGGAGAGAGATAGAGAGCCAGAAACATCGATGAGAGAGAAACATCGATCAGCTGCCTCCCGCACATCTCCCACTGGGGAGGTGCCCGCAACCCAGGTACATGCCCTTGACCGGAATCGAACCTGGGACCTTTCAGTCCGCAGGCCGACGCTCTATCCACTGAGCCAAACCGGTTTCAGCCTTTTTTGTTCATTTTATTTTGTTCATTAGATTCCACATATGAGTGAGATCATGTGATACTTATCTTTCTTTGACTTTATTTTGCTTAGCATAATACTCTCCAGGTCCCTCCATGCTGTCTTGAAGGGTAAGAGATCCTTCTTTTTTTTTTACAGCTGCATAAATATTCCATTGTGTAAGTATACTAGTTTTCTAATCCTTTCATCTACTGATGGGTACTTGGGCTGTTTACAGATCTTAGCTATTGTAAATAACACTGCTATGAACATACGGGTGCATATTCCTTCTGATTGGTATTTCTGGCTTCTTAGGGTATATTCCTAGAATCAAGATTACTGGGTTAAATGGCAGTTCCATTTTTAATTTTTGGAGGAAACTCTACACTGTTTTTCATAGTGGTTGTACCAGCTTGCATTCCTATCAGCAATGAACTAGGGTTCCCTTTTCTCCACATCCTCGCCAGCACTTGTTGTTTGTTGATTTATTAATGGTAGCCATTCTGGCAGGTGTGAGGTGGTACCATATTGTCATTTTAATTTGCATTTCTCTGAAAATTAGTGACTTTGAACATTTTTTCATATGTCTCTTGGCCATTTGCATGTCCTCTTTGGAGAAGTGTCTATTTAGGTTCTCTGCCCATCTTGTAATTGGGTTCTTTGTCTTCCTTTTGTTGATTTCCTGGGAGTTTTTTAAAATTACTGCTTCAACTTCATCTGTTGTTATTGGACTATTTGGATTTTCTGATTCCTCCTGATTCAGTTTTAGAAGATTGTATTTTTCTAGGATTTTGTCCATTTTGTCCAGGTTGTCCTGCTCGTTGGCATATAGTTGTTCATAGTATTTTCTTAAAAACCTTTGTATTTCTGTGGTGTTAGTTGTTACTTCACAACTTTCGTTTCTGATTTTATTTATTTGGGTCCTTTCTCTTTGTTTCTTTTTTTTTCTTTTTCTTTTTCTTTTCTCTTTTTAAAAGATTTCTTTCTTTTTTATAATTAAATCCTTATTGTTCAGATTATTACAATTGTTTCTCTTTTTTCCCCCCATAGCTCCCCTCCACCTGGTTCCCACCCCCCAACCCCCGCCCTTACCCCCCCCCCACTGTCCTCATCCATAGGTGTACGATTTTTGTCCAGTCTCTACCTGCACCCCTCACACCCCTTTAACCCTGAGAATAGTCAGTCCACTCCCTTTCTATGCCCCTGATTCTATTATATTCACCAGTTTATTCTGTTCATCAGATTATTTATTCACTTGATTTTTAGATTCACTTGTTGATAGATGTGTATTGGTTGTTCATAATTTGTATCTTTACCTTTTTCTTCTTCCTCTTCTTACCTTTCAGCATTTCATATAATACTGGTTTGGTGGTGATGAACTCCTTTAGCTTTTTCTTATCTGTGAAGCTCTTTATCTGATCTTCAATTCTGAATGATAGCTTTGCTGGATAAAGTAATCTTGGTTGTAGGTCCTTGCTATTCATCACTTTGAATATTTCTTGCCACTCCCTTCTGGCCTGCATAGTTTCTGTTCAGAAATCAGCTGACAGTCGTATGGGTACTTCCTTGTAGGTAACTGACTTTTTTTCTCTTGCTGCTTTTAAGATTTTTCTCTTTGTCTTTTGCTCTTGTCATTTTAATTATGATGTGTCTTGGTGTGGTCCTCTTTGGATTCCTTTTGTTTGGGGTTCTCTGCGCTTCCTGGACTTGTAAGTCTATTTCTTTTACCAGGTAGGGGAAGTTTTCTGACATTATTTCTTCAAATAGGTTTTCAATATCTTGCTCTCTCTCTTCTTCTGGCACCCCCATAATTCGGATGTTGGTACGCTTGAAGTTGTCCCAGAGGCTCCTTACACTATCTTCATATTTTTGGATTCTTTTTTCTTTTTGTTTTTCCGGTTGGGTGATTTTTTGCTTCTTCATATTTCAAATCTTTGACTTGATTCTTGCGATCCTCTAGTCTGCTGTTGGAACTCTGTATAATATTCTTTATTTCAGTCAGTGTATGCTTAATTTCTAGTTGTTCCTTTTTCATATCCTCGAGGGTCTCACTAGATTTCTTGAGGGTCTCACTAAATTTATCGGTGGATTCTAGAAAATTCTTGAAAAACCTTATAACTGTGGTTTTGAACTCCATATCCTGAAGTTTTCTTTCCTCCATTTCTGTCATTTGTGACCTGTTTCTTTGTCTCTGCATTTTTTATGCTTCCCTGTGTTGATAGAGTGGCTTTCTGTGCTAGGTATCCTATAGGGCCCAGTGGCTCAGCCTCCCCAATTACCTGAGGTGGACACTCTTGGTGCACCTCTTTGAGGGCTTTGTGCACAGTCTTGTTGTAGTTAAGCCTTGATTGTTGTAGGTATCACTGGGAGGAATTGACCTCCAGGCCAATTGGCTGTGAGAATCAGCTATGTCTACAGTGGGAGAACTTCTGTGCTGGAGACACCCTTATGGGGCAAGACTTGCTTCAGTGGGTCTTTGGTGCTCACTGAGTCTGCCCCCTGAGTGTGTCCCTTATGGATCTGAGGAGTTGTAATCTGGGTGGTCAGAGTGAATCTTAATACTATTTTTTTAAAAAATATATATTTTATTGATTTTTCACAGAGAGGAAGGGAGAGGGATAGAGAGTTAGAAACATCAATGAGAGAGAAACGTCGATCAGCTGCCTCTTGCATACCCCCGACTGGGGATGTGCCCGCAACCAAGGTACATGCCCTTGACCGGAATCGAACCTGGGACCTTTCAGTCCGCAGGGCGATGCTCTATCCGCTGAGCCAAACCGGTAAGGGCAATACTATTTTTGTTTTTCTAGAATTTATATTCAACCTCCTCCTAGAAATACTTTGAAGCACCAGCTTAGATTATACTATATATGTGAGGAAAGAAAAAAGAGCTAAAAGACTTTCCTTCCCACATCACTTCAGAGAACTAAGTAATAAATCTTTATAAATACCAGTGTTGCTCAAAGGGAAATTATGCAGAGAAAGAACCTTTGTATGTAGGGACACAGAGTGGTATAGTGGAAAAGAGCAGTACCTTTATTTAGAGCAGTGGTTCTCAACCTTCCTAATGCCGTGACCCTTTAATACAGTTCCTCATGTTGTGGTGACCCCCAACCATAAAATTATTTTCGTTGCTACTTCATAACTGTAATTTTGTTACTGTTATGAATCGTAATGTAAATATCTGATATCCAGGATGTATTTAGGCGACCCCTGTGAAAGGGTCGTTCGACCCCCAAAGGGGTCGCGACCCACAGGTTGAGAACTGCTGATTTAGAGGCACAAAACCTAGGTTATTTCCTTGTGCTGCTATTGGCCTGCTTTGTAACTTTTCACTGATTTCTCCAGCTACCTGACTACAACCATAAAAGCTATTTTTTTCCTTTTTTGTTCCAGGAGATTTTGATGAGTTCACTCACGATAATAATGACAGTATGTTGAAAAGCATAGCAGAAGATCTTCGGAATTGCTTACCTCTAGAAACCATGCTTTCCTCAGAACATCTAGCCCTCCAAAAAGTAAGTACATTATTATTTTTTTTAATTTTATTTTATATATTTTGTTGATTTTTTTTTACAGAGAGGAAGGGCAAGGGATAGAGAGTTAGAAACATCGATGAGAGAGAAACATCGATCAGCCGCCTCCTGCACATCTCCTACTGGGGATGTGCCCGCAACCAAGGTACATGCCCTTGACCGGAATCAAACCCGGGACCCTTGAGTCCACAGGCTGACGCTCCATCCCCTGAGCCAAACCGGTTTCGGCGAGTACATTATTATTAATTTACTCTTATTGCTACTTGAGGATTCTCCAGTTCTTCCCTAACCCTGTAGTCTCTCCAGACTGATAGTCCTGAATTCTGCTTTAAATAATTTTTTCATATAGTGCTTCAACCATGTTCCCGATTCTTTTGAGTTTCTAAGCCCTCTGGCTCCCCAGTATTATTCACTCAACAGACATTTTTTTTGAGGATATCTGTTTGCCAAGCACTCAACCTCCTTCCAAAATCACAATCCAATAGTAATCTGGTCCTGCCTATATCACTGTCCTGATTTTCTCTTCCCTGTTTCATTTCCTTCACTTTTATCAATGGTGAAGTTTACCTCTTTTTTTCCTTCTCCTACATTTGCATTGTACAATTTTTGCTTATTCTTCTATTTGTTTATTCCTAGAATTAGTTCTCATTCATCTTCTCCAAACAACCCCTCATTCAAGTCCCTTCAAATCCCAACTCCTATGGGATTACAAATGCTATACATATTGTTTCCTAAAGCAAAGCTAATGATAATAATCTCTTCTCCCACTGATTTGAAAATGGCAACCCTCCATATGGTTTTTCTAAGCAGAGGAACTAAATCCTGTACATTTTTAACAGTATTGTGCACGTTGTGAACAGTTAGCAAATCTTAGTAAACATCTGCTCATTCAAGTGGATTCTCAAAGGAGGAAAATAATGAGTAGTATTAAAACTGAGAGAAATATCTAATATAGTTTGGATGTTATTGACAAAACAATCTTATTGGTATCATGGTATACCACAATACATAAAATGAGGAAAACGTATTCATTGCATGTTAATGATCAACCCACAATTCCATATGCTAAATTCCACACACTTCCACACACTTTTTATTTTATTTTCTTTCCTTCTGGTCCTTGTGTTTGTTCATACATTTTACGTACTTGTAATATAGATTGTGTGTGTGTGTGTGTGTAGATATAGATATAATTTTTTAAGTTCCCAAGCAGATAGGTTGATACTTTACCATAATCGAGGTAGAAGGAGTCAGACAAAAATTTTTTCTTTGTAGCCACTTGCTGTTACCACTAGTATTAATAAAGGGCCATAATTTGTAAGCATGAAGGTTTACTAACATTATTATTTGAAAACTTTTCCTCTAAGCAAAGATTTCTTGCTAAGTATTTTGATGAGTAAGTCACTGACATGGAGGACTCCGAAGAGCTGGTATTAGTTTCCATTTTGACCCTTCTTACTAGCTACTGTCATTTCTTTGGAGAAATCTCTCTGGGTATCAGTTTCTGTACTTGTAAAATATACTGCTTCGGATGGACAAGATGGTCTCAAAATACTCCTTTCAACTAAAATTGTATATATTTCTCATTGCCATGTTTTGCATAATTACAGGCCAAATAAAAAGTTGTCCACTAACAAAGTGACTCCCATTTGTGTAACTTCATTGAGACTCATTACCTGAAGGAGCAGGTGAAATCCATTAAAGAATTGGGTGACCATGTGAGATGGGCACTTCTAATCTGGATGGCAGAGTGTCTCTTTGACAAGCACACTCTGGGAGACAGTGATGAGAGCTCAGCCTTAGACTGGCTTCCCATAGCCACAGGGGTCACTTACCTGGTCACCAAAGCAATACATGCATGTTAGTGTTACCTTTATCTTTTTCTTCTGTTCTTTCATTTGTATCCTTCCTTCAAATAAAGTAAATTGGTACCCTCACACCCCCCAAAAGTCTCAGAAATAAAATGAAAGAAGGGCAGAGTTGCTGATGTAAGTGAAACTAGTCTTTCTGTGCCTTGTTGCTGGCAGAATTTTAGCATATGAACCACTGACGTTTGCCTTATCCTATATAATAAAAGGGCAATATGCAAATAGACCGAACAGCGGAACATCCGAACAACCAGTCGCTATGACGTGCACTGATCACCAGGAGGCATGTGCAGAATATGGCAGGTGTTGGCCATGGTGGGATGGTGGAGCAGTTGAGCGGGGGTGCCAGACCAAGGTGGGGCGCCAGTCACTGTCATCGGGGCAAGTCTCTGGTGATTACTGAAAATTCTTTGCTCCTGTGCACTGGGGTCCCACCCGGCACTCGCACCGGCTGCTGGCACCAGCCCTGCTCGCACCTGCTACTGGTGCCGGAGCTGCCGCGCGCAACCACTGCCAGCGCTCAACACCGGCCCCGATCGCTCGGCACCATCAGTGGGTGTGAGCGGCGGCTGCCAGCCCGGGATTGCCCCTCCAGGCTTCTCCACCTTCCCCTGCTCTTAAGGGGAGATTGGGGCTGGCAGCTGCCTCTCACACCCGCTGCCAGTGCCTGGCGCTGGTCCCAATTGCTTGGCCCCATCAGCGGGTGCGAGCGGCGGATGCCGGCTCTGATTGCCCCTAAGGATTTCTCCACCTCCCCCTGCTCCTGAGGGGCAGTCGGGGCAGCAGCTACCACTTGCACCTGCTGACGGTGCTGGCCCTGCTTGCACCCACTGCTGGCACCGCCTCCAGTCGCATGGCTCCTTCAGTGGGTACAAGCAGGGCCAGCGAGTCAGCGCGTGGGAGTGGCGGTGGCAGGAGCAGAGCTGCAGGCAGACAGGGGACCAGGGGGCCACAGTGGGAGGGGCCAGGCAGGGGCATGGAGGATGGACCGAGACCCAGCCCTGTGCCCACCGCAGCCTCGCAGCCCACAGTTCCTTTCAAGTTGCACAAATTCGTGCACTGGGCCCCTAGTCTATATATATAAATGGCTAATATGCAAAGTGTCCCCTTGGGAGTTCAACTGGGAGACTTGGAGTTTGATCACTGGCTATGACATGTGCTGACCACCAGGGGGTAGCGTGAAACGAAGGAAGGCCCTGGCCTGCAGCTGGGGAAAGAAGGCCCCAATCAGCCCTGATCACTGGCCAGGCCTAGGGACCCTACCCGTGAATGAATTTCGTGCACTGGACCTCTAGTTTAGCAATAAAAAGAGACTTCTTTGAACTTTGTTTCTTTTAATGTGTTTCTTCTCTCCACCAGATCCAGCAGCGGCCAGAACCCACAGTTCATGTAGATGCATTCCTTTATGATGAAGATTCTATTGACTCATTATGTGAGGAAGGAAAAATGAGCAGAAACTATTGTGTGGTGTGTGGCTCATACCAGACAGCACCTTTAGGTCAGCACTCAAGTATGCAAACCTGATGACTTTGTTTGTACTTTTCCTTAGATGTCTTGAGTATGCAAATTACTGACGGTCTTTCAATGTTTTCTGAAAGCAAAGGCCAACATACAGCATAGCCATTACCAATTATTGCAGTTAGGGAGACTAAATGGAAATATTGTCTAGGAAGTCAGGGCATTTAATGTCTCCCAGAAGGATATCTCTACTTTTTACAGTAACTGGTTGTTTTTTGGTTTTTAAAAAAATATATTTTATTGATTTTTTACAGAGAGGAAGGGAGAGGGATAGAGTTAGAAACATCGTCGAGAGAGAAACATCGATCAGCTGCCTCCTGCACACTCCCCACTGGGGATGTGCCCACAACCAAGGTACATGCCCTTGACCGGAATCGAACCTGGGACCCTTGAGTCCGCAGGCCGACGCTCTATCCACTGAGCCAAACCAGTTAGGGCTCACAGAAACTGTTTAATCACCAGTGACTTTGCAGGTCCAGAAACTAATCAGAAGTGACTAAGTACAAGGAAACTGACTCATCCTTTCCATACTCAACAGAAATTCATATATAAAGCATATGCTGATTTGTTTACAAGAGAAATATAGTTATATTAGTTTAATATAGTCAAGGGGACCGAATGTTCTCCCTATGAAAACATCTTGAGAAGTATTGTTGGACGAACAATATTGTTGGATGAACATGGACTCAGAGGACAATGATGGATAATCTTGAGAAAGAGTTTATTCAGGCCATGATTTGACCTAGTAGAGCATCTCTAGTCCATAACAGGAAACCAACTCCAGTGACAGAAATTTTCCTGCATCTCTGCCCCTCATATGCAGTACCTGTGTCCCAAATAGCAAACTAGACTGACTCCATGCTGCTACAGTGTAGCTCTTCTGTTAATATATTCTTTGTTCAAACTGGATATGATTGTTTAGGCTGTTACTTTAGACATGCTATTTCAGTCTCCCCACTACCTTAGGTTTATTGCTTAGAGTGCGCTATTCTCCAGGTGTGTTTCCTTGTTCTCATATTACTGACCCTAGATAATATCATTCTCAAAAGTTTACTGTTACCAAATTGGTAATATGTTGCTAATAAAAATATATTGTACCTGTATTATAATTGGGGTTAAACGTCCCTGATTTACTGATTTAAGGTTTGTTTGTTTATTTATTTATTTAAATATTATATATATACATATATATATATATATATATATATATATATATATATATATATATATATATATGAAGGAAAGAAGGAAGGAAAGAAGGAAAAACATACTCAGGCTCTCTCAGATATTTCATTATAGAAATAAAGGAGTGAGAAAATGGGGTAGGAGGCTAGAAGTTATAGCAGTTAAACGAAGGGAAATAAGAGCAGTGTTGGGAGTATCTTAACCTTCCACATTGCCCCTCTTCTGCACTCCAGGGCTGCCACATTGCACACCTCCTGAGTGGCCATTCATTTGGTCGTCCACAGTCTGTGCAGCAGTGTGTAGCAGTTCTGTGATTGGCTCTGGGGTAAGGTGAGAAAGCCAGATGGAATGGGAGTTAGGAAGCAGTCCCAACAAACAGCAGGTCATAGCGGGGAAAAGGAAATGAGGGGCATAGGATAGGGACAGGCAGCTGAGTAGCTGTTCCCTTAGAGGCCTTTTAAAATGTCAGAGACTGCCCTGGCCGGTTTGGCTCAGTGGATAGAGCGTCAGCCTGCGGACTCAAGGGTCCCAGGTTTGATTCTGGTCAAGGGCATGTACCTTGGTTGAGGGCACATCCCCAGTAGGGGGTGTGCAGGAGGCAGCTGATAGATGTTTCTCTCTCATCGATGTTTCTAACTCTCTACCCCTCTCCCTTCCTCTCTTTAAAAAATCAATAAAATATATTTTAAAAAAATAAATAAGTAAAATAAAATTAAATGTCAGACTTTATGTTTATTCTTTTCCAATACAACTCAGAGTGAATGAGTGAAAAATTATCATATTAATTTTTTCTAAATAACCTCTGACTGCCTTTCATTAAATAAGAAAATAGAATCATGAAATATCCTATATAATAAAAGCCCAATATGCAAATTATCCCCTTGACCGGGAGTTCGACCAGGGGTTCGACCAGGGGGTGGGGCCGGCTGGCCAATTATGGGAAGGTAGGCCCCGGCTGGTGTGCACTGGGCCTCTAGTTCTTTATAAATATAGGTGAAGATTTAGAAATACAGAATTGAATTGTTAGTACCCATGCAGAATTTGTTCATTTTGTTCTAATTCTGCAGGATTTATTTCTCATTCCTTCTCTCTCATGGAATTGAAGTTCATTTACCATCACGTACTCCCTGATCTGTCGGGAAAGCTCTTGGTTGACGTCGGCTCCAGGCTTGGCACAGTCCTTTACGGGGTAAAGTCCAGCTTATGGACATACTCAACATTTGGAAAATACTTTCTTCTCCTGCTAACAGCAGTTTTGCCTGCCACCATCCAAGGTGACAGCTTGGTTTTATTTATTAGAGTAACAATAATAAAATTAAAGTAGTATATTGAGTTTGGAATTTCAAAGGCCAGCTCTCTGATTTCCTTTATTAGTTTGTCTCTGTGACTCAGAGGAAGAAATATCAACAAAACAGAAGCAGGTAACCCTCAAACACTTTGCTGCTTTGTAGTCACCACTGCCCTTTAACCCTGTTTTCCTTGTACTGTGCTAAAATTGTATACTAGCATTGGTAAGCGGTCTTATAAAACTGACAAGTTTACTTGACCTAGGAAATTGCCCATGGCCATAAGCAAGTTACCTAACACCTCTGGGCTTCAAGTTCCTCCCCTGTAAGTGAGCAAACAAAATGATATCCAAGGACGCACCTTGCTCCAATTTTCTGTCATCCAAAGTTTGAATGTAGACATTTGTTTCTGAAATATCACATCAATATGACTTTTTAAAAAATTTAAATCACGAGTACTCTTAATGTTCTTAAATGGTTTAATCAAAAAACTGAAATGTGGTTTCTGGTTGTCATTAGCAGACTTGTTAAAACATGTGGCCAACAGCAGGAGAGGCTCATGCCAGAAACAGGCACTATCAGTTCCCAGCATCGTTGCCGGCCCTAAACAGGAACAGTTAACTCTTTGATGCTTCATTTATTGTTCAGTACTAAAACGTTTATTCTGTGATTAGAAAGATAGCCATAATGGAAAAGTACACAATTGTCAGGTAGTTTTCTTTGGAGAACATTAGAGATTATGATTGTTTACCACATTTTGTCCACTGTTGTCCATTTGTTTGTTTTTTTATTTGTTAAAAAAGTATATAGCTGAAATAATTGGCTATGCAGGTGTGTGGCAGTAGTAAATAATTTAAACATATTGTCATTGTTCTTCTTATTAGGTCACTGATTCAGTCAACAAAGATTTTTTTGAATGCCTACATATGCTCTGTTGGACATATTCTAAAATCCATGATGAGCTGTAAATATAAATTTGGTTTACACTTAGGTGTTAGTTGATGTAAAATGGTATTCAGAATATGATTTGACCATTTCTTCCAGATATTGTTTTGCTATTGAAACCAAAATAGGTACATAGCAATATACAGTCAATTCCTGATTATCCTTGAAAACTAATTGGTCATTATTTTGGCAGAGTGCCAGGCTGACTTCCATAAGCCAAACAGAACATACCTCCAGCAACCTCCCTGTGTTGCCAGGCTGCATGATTTTCCAATTATGGTCCCCACAGGTTTATTCCTTTCTTGCTTTTCCCTGAAGCAACTTCCAAAGAAATTACAGAAATAGGGTGGTAAATGGAGAATCTATATATGATCACTTTTCTCATTTTCACTTTTGTTGAGTGCACAGTTTTACCAGAAAAAGTAAGAAATCAATCTTTTAAAATATAATTACTTTTAAATAATGGAAATTATTAAATAATGGGAAAGAACTACAATCAAGTTCTTGATCAGTAAGTCTTTAAGTTCTTAAAGTTGTAAGTTTTACATAAACTACAAGATGTTATTTATCCTTACTTTATTGAATTCTATTTTTTAAAGTTTGACTTTTTAAATTTCAAGTAAAAGTAAACCACAATAAAAAGTTAATTCGTTTGTATCCTAATATATTCTCATATTTTAGGGTTATCTTTACAGTTCAGCATTGCAACTGTATGGAGTAGAATTGAATGGAGACTTTTGCCAGTTGCAGGAGATTATCATAAAAAAGTACCAGTTCACTGACAGAATAAAGGTACTCTTTCAAATATATATATTGTTGTTCATTGAATAGCATAATTTAGGCAACTTCTGCATTGTAGTTGGAAAATCTTTTTTAATCTATTCTTATTTGCTATTGTGTAGAAACAGATTTGAGTTGACTTAATATTTTAAAACATTAATGAAGATTAATTTTTTTTCCACTTTTTTTTATTATTAATTAAATCTTTATTGTTCAGATTATTACATTGGTTCCTCTTTTTTCCCCCCATAACCTGCCTCCACCCAGTTCCCACCCCATCCTCCTCCCTCACTCCCCACCCACTGTCCTCATCCATAGGTGCACGATTTTTGTCCAGTCTCTTCCCGCATCCCCCTCACCCCTTTCCCCCTCAAGAATAGCCAGTCCACTCCCTTTCTATGCCCCTGATTCTATTATAATCACCAGTTCATTCTGTTCATCAGATTATTCACTTGATTTTCAGATTCACTTGTTGATAGATGTGTATTTGTTGTTCATAATTTGTATCTTTACCTTTTTCTTCTTCTTCCTCTTCTTAAAGGATACCTTTCAGCATTTCATATAATACTCATTTGGTGGTGATGAACTCCTTTAGCTTTTCCTTATCTGTGGAGCTCTTTATCTGACCTTCAATTCTGAATGATAGCTTTGCTGGATAAAGTAATCTTGGTTGTAGGTTCTTGGCATTCATCACTTTGAATATTTCTTGCCACTCCCTTCTGGCCTGCAAAGTTTCTGTTGAGAAATCAGCTGACAGTCGTATGGGTACTCCCTTGTAGGTAACTGACTTTATTTCTCCTGCTGCTTTTAAGATTCTCTCTTTGTCTTTTGCTCTTGGCATTTTAATTATGATGTGTCTTGGTGTGGTCCTCTTTGGATTCCTTTTGTTTGGGGTTCTCTGCGCTTCCTGGACTTGTAAGTCTATTTCTTTTACCAGGTAGGGGAAGTTTTCTGTCATTATTTCTTCAAATTGGTTTTCAACATCTTGCTCTCTCTCTCTTCTTCTGGCACCCCTATAATTCGGATGTTGGTACGCTTGAAGCTGTCCCAGAGGCTCCTTACACTATCTTCGTATTTTTGGATTCTTTTTTCATTTTGCTTTTCTGGTTGGGTGTTTTTTGCTTCTTTGTATTTCAAATCGTTGACTTGATTCTTGCAATCCTCTAGTCTGCTGTTGGGAGTCTGTATAATATTCTTTATTTCAGTCAGTGTATGCTTAATTTCTAGTTGGTCCTTTATCACAACATCGAGGGTCTCATTAGATTTCTTGTAGATCTCATTAAATTTATCGGCAGTTTCTAGAAAATTCTTGAAAAACCTTAAAAGTGTGGTTTTGAACTCTATATCCAGTAGTTTGCTTTCCTCCATTTCTGTCATTTGTCTCCGCATTTTTTATGCTTCCCTGTGTTGATAAAGTGGGTTTTCTGTGCTAAGTGTTCTCTAGGGGCCCAGTGGTTCAGCCTCCCCAATTACCTTAGGAGGACACTCTTGGTGCACCCCCTTGTGGTCTTTGTGCACAGTCTTGTTGTAGTTAAGCCTTGATTGTTGTAGGTATCACTGGGAGGAATTGACCTCCAGGCCAATTGGCTGTGAGAATCAGCTGTGTCTGCAGTGGGAGAACTTCTGTGCTGGAGACACCCCTCTGGGGCAAGACTTGCTTCAATGGGGCTTTGGTGGTCACTGAGTCTGCACCCTGAGTGTGTCCTTTATGGATCGAGTAGCTGCAAACTGGATGGTCCCATTCTGACCTCTGGGCTTCCTGGCTCCTGGATCTCTAAGGAGGTGTTAATCTAGCCTTTGCCTGAGGCTATCCAGCAAAAGCCTCCCTGCAGGGCTGGGGCGGGGCGGGTCCCACGGGATCAACAGGGCGGGGCTAGCAGTTATGGCTGCTCTCAGTCCTGCCTTCAGAGGCTCTGCTTCTCAATGTCCCGTTAATCGCTGCAAGTCCCTCGGAGAGAAAGGTGCCCTCGAGTTCCGACCGATGCCAGACAGTCTCGCTTCTCCCGTATGAGTCTGGGTCCCTAGAGACTCGCCTGGAACTGGAGCTCAGAGCCTGAGATTCCCTCCCGATTGAAAACGACAACTGCGCCCTCAGCCGCCAGCCCACTCCGCATGCACCTCCGCACCTTAGTATTTTACTTCTGTACTGCGCCTCCTCTGGGTCTTGGTATGCTTTTCTCTTTCCTTCTAGTTGTAGAATTTCCACTCAGCCAGCCTTCCTGTGGTTCTGGATGATGTCCGTTCCGTCTTTTAGTTGTATTTTTGAAATGGTTGTTCGCGGCAGCAAACTCCGGTGTTTACCTATGCCGCCATCTTGGTTTTTCCCTCAAGATTAATTATTATCATTATATCCCACTCACATATTTCTCTCCTCCCCGATTTTATTAGGAAGTAGGTTTTTTTCTTAGTTTGCTTCATATCAGCTTTAATAATGCTAGCAGCATTTTTGAATCTCAAGATGTTGGTCAGAAGTATATTTAATTAATTTCTGAATGTAGAAAGTAAGCAAACAGGTTAGTAATGCTCACAGCTCTTTATCTTCTGTTTTGTAAGCTTTCAGGAGGAATTGTGGCTGCCACAGAATAGCAATTTATAGGGAAATGATGCCCTAGGTTGGGCTTCCACGGAAGTTTTCTCTCTTTCTTATATGTTAGCAGTTTTTAACCTTTTTCATCTCATGGCACACATAAACTAATTACTAAAATTCTGTAGCACACTAAGAAATATATTTTCTTTTTGCCAATCTGACCTAAAAAAAAAAAAAAGGTTTAATTTTTATTGAACTACAAAAAAAGTAATAATAGCAATTACCTACATTTTTTGCTCCAAAGTGACTTTTAAAAAAAAATCAGGTGCCTGTACTTGTATATAAGGATTTCTGGTACCAAGAATTAACCAATCAGATATATCCTTATTATGTGATGTGACTAAAAAGATGCAACTCTATTTTACGACCTATACTAGAGGCCCGGTGCACGAAATCGTACATGGGTGGGGTCCCTCGGGCTGGCCAGTTGGGGGGAGGGACCGCAGGAGGTTGGCTGTGGGAGTGCAATGCATTGAGCATCTGCTCCCTGATGGTCAGTGCATGTCATAGCTATGGGCCGGTTGTTACGGTTGCTTAGGCTTTTATATATATAGACTAGAGGCCCGGTGCACAAAATTTTGTGCACTCGGGGGGGAAGGGGGGTTCCTCAGCCCGGCCTGTGCCCTCTCGCAGTCTGGGACCCCTCAGGAGATAATGACCTGCTGGCTTAGGCCTGCTCCTGGGTGGCAGAGGGCAGGCCCAATCCCTAGGTGCAGCCCCTGGTGGGGCTCAGAGCAGGGCTGATTGGGGAGTTGGGGCGCCGCCCCCTGTCATGCACAGAGCAGGGCGGATTGGGAGGTTGCGATGCCACCCTCAGTCATGCTCAGGATAGGGCTGATTGGGGGGTTGGGGCACCACCCCCTATCACACTCAAGGCAGGGTCAATGGGGAGGTTGCGGCGCCACCCCCTGTGATGCACAGAGCAGGGCCAATCAGGGGGTTGGGGCGCTGCCCCCTGTCACACACAGAGCAGGGCCAATCAGGGGGTTGGGGCAGTGCCCCCCCCCCCCGTCGTCATGTACAGAGCAGGGCCCATCAGGGGGTTGGGGAGCTCCCCCCTGTCACTCACAGAGTAGGGCCGATAGGGGAGTTAGGGCACCGCCCCCTGTCACACACACAGCAGGGCGGATCAGGGGGTTGGGGCGCCGCCCTCTATCACCCACAGAGCAGGGCCGATCAGGGGGTTGGGGCGATACCACTGTCACACTCAGGGCAGGGCCGATGGGGAGGTTATGGCTCTACCCTGTCACACACAGAGCAGGGCCCGTGGGGGGGGGGGTTGGGGCGCCACCCCCTGTCACACACAGAGCTGCAGGGCAATCAGGGGGTTTGGGCGCTGCCCCCTGTCATGCTGATCTGGTGCCAGGAGGCCTTGCGGCTCCGCTGATTCCGGTGCTGGGAGGCATATTACCCTTTTACTATATAGGATAGAGGCCTGGGGGCCGGCTGGTTTGCCCTGAAGGGTGTCCTGGATCAGGGTGGGGGTCCCCACTGGGGTGCCTGGCCAGTCTGGGTGAGGGGCTGAGGGCTGCTTTCAGGCTGGCAGGAAGCTCCCAACCACTCCTTTTTTTCTTTTCTTTTTTTCTTCTGGGCCAGCTTTAGCTCTGGCTCTAGCTCTGAGGCGTCCGCTGCTGGTTTGTTTGCCGTTCTATAATCGAAACAATGTATAACCTCAGCTCTGAGATCCCAGCTGGCTATATTTGTTAGAATGTTTCAAACTGCCAGCTCAGAGGCCGGCAAGTCAGGCGGGGAACGTTGGAGTCTGCAGTCACTGGAGCAAGCAAGCCTCATGCTCGCTTCCAGCTGCCTGGCTGCCGGCCGCCATCTTGGCTGACAGTTAATTTGCATAAGGATACGCTGATTAGCCAATGGGAAGGGTAGCGGTCGTACGCCAATTACCATTTTTCTCTTTTATTAGTGTAGATATTTATAGTTCAAGACAGGACATTCACACCAACAACTGTTGGCATGTTGGCTGTTGTCATTTTTTAATTTGATAATCTAAGAGAAAAGAAGTCAGTGTCCCTCACTAAATAATCAGATATTTATTGCATGTTTTAAAAATTCTTGTGGCACACTGGTTGAAAATCGCTGCTATATATAAAGGGAAAAATAACAGAAAAGGGAAAGGAAGTTTTTTGGTTAATGAAGTAATACTTATCATTTCAGTAATGATCCTTTGTGTGTGTGTGTATATGTATATATATATATATATATATATATATATACATATACACACACACACACACACACACACACACACACACACTCTAGGGGCCCAGTGCACAAATTCGTGCACCTTAAAAGGAACTGTGGGAGTCAAAAGAGCATACTTATGAATTTATAAATAATTACATATAAACAAACAAATTTTCACAAGTTTATCATTTTTATTAAATACTTTCTCCCATTTTAAGTATTAGGGTGAACTTTACATATTACCTCACAACATTATTGACCCAGTATGTAGTTCTGTGATCGTATGATGTGGTATGTTTGTTCTCTTAAATGGACTCATTCTTATTTAGGTGCTTCATGCAGACATCTGTACCCAGGATTCACTTCTGCAAAATGCTGATGTTATTATAATGAATAACGTCTTCGAATATTTTCTTGATGAGGCAGAACAGGCCAGGTATGTTATTTATTCAGGCAAGAAGTCTGTTGTTATCCAGCAAAGTATGAAAAGGGATTGGTAGAGTAGAAATGTTTTCATATTAAACTTTTAAAAATGACCTCAACTGTGAGATTATATTCAAAAGGAAATATGTTCTATATAAAATAAAAATAAACTGTCTGACTTTGTAAAGTATTGCATCTCATTTTAGGCAGATATGATATTTTATGACCCAAGCATTTGCTTAGCCGTCATGGATGAAATAAGATATCACTTCCTAATGGGTCTTTATACTTTTTTCTGCCTCAGGTTTTTTTTCCCTTAAAAAAAATATGTCATGATGCTATCCTATCATAAAATGATGGGAATTAACTAATGCCTATAATTGAATATAAAACAAGATATAAGAGTATTAACCAAAATTGTGATTATCAAACTTGAAAAATGTTTTTAAGGGATAATAAGTAGTAGAAGTTTATTCCACTATTCAAGTAATGAAAAAATTAGCAAGTCTGCGATCATTTTTCTGACTTCTGTGCCACATTTTAATGCTTTGTGACCCATAAGGACCTATAGGTTCCTTTGATTAGAAAATTCCTCTAGTCTGTAGTCTGAGACACCAACTTTATGGCTACTTAGGCTTGCTGACTTCTTACTTATAAGGGCATATGCATACTTTAGATACAGGAAAGCTCCTTTCCATTTGGCATGAAAGGGAATTAGACGAATGTTTGGATTACCCCAGAGAAATGAAAAAGTGCATGTAATACAGACCATAAACAGTTAATACTGAGTGGAATCCTGAATGACTAAACCTCTTTATTCTGCCACCTGTTCACCTTCTGTATTCTGCCCCTGACCACCACTTTCTCTCTCTCCCACACACACATATGCACACCCATAGCCATTAGGTTAAGGTCACTACAAAATTAATAGTTTAAATGGTTTAAAAAGAAACTGCTTCAACAGAAAGCTAATCATATAATCAAATTTCAGCTAGAATGAGGGGTGATTTTTTTGGTCACAGACTAAAGACCAGAAACACAACATGTGCTGTACCATGCCAGCACAGCCAAGGGTTCCGTGAGCCTGAGGAGGGGTGGTGAAGGATTAAAGAAAAGACAGACAAAGAGAATATAGCTGGGGCTCGGTGGAACTCCCGTACCTGGATGAGGACACAGAAAGAGATCCAGCTGGCAAGCTGAGGCTTAATTTTATAGTCAGAGATACACAAGGTAGTGGTCACCATAGTTACAATGTTCTTGTGAGTTTCACTTGTTTAGGCAGCACTTGCTACATCTCCCACAGCCCATTAGCTACCTAGGAACAATCTAGGGAGCGTCATAAGGTCAAGCTTAATTATGGTAAGAGGGCTATGCCCTCCAAGCTGGGACTTGTTTGTGGCTCTGCCACAGGTCAATCCGAAGCTTAACCCTATAGGTACTCCCTACAATGTGCAAAGTTATTTTAATTATAATGCCCTTTTTAGACTTAATTTCCAGTGGACAAAGTATGATTAGCTTTTTATCTTTTTAAATTAATGATCGGTAGTCAAAACATTTCATAATTGTTGGAAAGTGAAATATTACCAGGTTTATGTTGCATAAGAAGTTTTAAAACACCCTAAACTCTTTGGAGATTTATTATATAAAGAGTTTGAATGCTGAGGAATGATGAAAGCTACTGCCGAACTTGATATTGGAAATACTGCATATTTGCATTATTTTCAAAACTCTCTTGGTGCATTTATTCACAAGCTCTACATGATTCATTAAGTAGATATTGGCCACCTGTGTTAGTTCAGTCATTTTTCCCTCAATTAGTCTAGCAAATGAATTCTAAATCTAGCTAGGTTATGTGACTCTCATAGTTAATTATTTTATCTTCATCTTGAATGATAGTTCACAGAAGAAAGGTTAGAAGATATGGTAAATCATTCTGATATTGGAATTGTTCTGACAAAACTGGTCATTTACTCATTAATTCTATATTGTAGTAAGTAAAAGAGAATAGATGGCACAGCATATACCCTCCAGAGATTTTTAATCTTAATCAGAATCTGAGGACAAGTGGAATGGTACTGCTGCTATAGGAGTTAGTGCATAAAAGAAAACAAAAATATGTCATAATAATGGAAATGTGTACTCAGGAAAGGCTCAGGCTTCAGAATAAGTTAGATTTCATTATAGCATAACACCCAGATTGTAAAGTAAGTATTAGTTTAAAAGGTACTTCTAGCCCTGGCCGGCTCAGTTGATTGTTGTCCTATCCTGGTGAGAGTGTGCACCTCTGAGAAGTTGGTCGATGTTTCTCTCTCACATCGATGTTTCTTTGTCTCTCCCTTCCTTTCTAAAATCAATAAAACTGTCTTAAAAATAAAATAAATAAAAGGTGCCCCTATGTATTTTCTTAGTAGGTGAAACAGATACAACTACTACCATGACAGCTTATCAGAAATATTAAGTTCTATTTTGAGAGTCATGCCCAGTATACTTAGCTTCTTCATTCTTTTTAAATAAACTTATAAAATGTCATTTTTAAGGAACCACTGGAAAAAACACACGCAAACAGCTCTAGCCCAACCATGGTGATATTTATTATCAAACACTGCTACATGATTTTAGATCTAGCCTGAGAAAAAAACATTTGTATCATTTTATCTAGTTAACTCCAGAATGTACTAAACTTAATATCCATTGCTATAACTAAAATAAGTGCAAATGACACAGCTGCTCACCTGCCCCACTGCAAGGGATGCACATCTCTGCTTTTTCTGACCATTGGTCCCCAGTAGTGGGGTGTACTTTCAAGACTCAGCGTAGAAATCCAGTTCATGTCTGCACTAAAGATTAATCAGAACTGGTCAGACACTGCCCTCTGACCACACATACACATGGCATTTCATCACGCTTTAAACCTGGCTGGTCCCACTAAACTTCTCAGGTGCCGTCCAGAAGTCTTTCCATTGAATATTTATGGCAGCCAAATAAAGTATGATTTCACTTTTGATTTACTGTTAGTTTTTGCTTGGTGTCTGGTTTCTATAGCCTTTCTCCAGTACTCTGCCCCACCTCTACCCCTCAGCCCAGTTCCCTTCTGCAGAACCATTTTTTTTTTACATACTTTGTAAGAAATTTAAGAGCCACTAACTGATGCAGCTTTGACTTCTGAATTGGTCCTGAAACTGAGTTTTGGCCTCACAATGCCTTGTAGTAACTCAAATCACGATCTCCTTAAATCTTGTCAACTGTAACTTCACAATTTTCCCAGCACCTCTTCTGGAACTGAAGAATTGACCAATTTCTAGTATGTTACTGCAGTCCTATTTTCTGTAAGCAGACAATTTTGCTCATTTGAGATACCACTTGTGCTGCATTTTCTTTTGTCATCGGCATTTTAAAAGAATTTTCAGTGTCTGGTAAAACCTGACATAATGCTTCTAATGTGTTATAGAGCCTGGGAATGTATCAGCCATAACGTAAGGAAACAAGGATCGTTACTGGTGACAGTACCAAGTCTTGAAGAGTCTCTCTCAGGTCTTCAGGTATGTAAGCCTTCCTCGCATTTTTATTGTCAAAACTTTCCTTCTACTTTTTTCTGATAGCTGTTACAATATTCTAGAAATGTTCTGTCTGAATATAGTGACAGATGATAAAAAGAATAGCAAGAATTTATGGCTTAAGGACTGGTTCGTGGTTAATTAACTAGCCTCAAGAGCTCTCAAGTTGCCATTCTTATCTCCATACGAACTCCTTCGCTTCTCCACCCAATTTTTCCAGCTGTGGGATTACAGTTCTGGAGAACAAATGCTATTAAATGTTTGTTAAGAGGCTTTAAACACCCACATCATAACTTTGCCCTTAGAACAAAAGGAACAGAGTTATTCAAGGTTGTATAATCAAATAAACTGGAGGCAGTGCAGTTTAGCCTCTAAGTCAGTTTGAAATCTTACACAAACCTCTCTTGCTCAGACTTTTTGTATAAAATAAGGCTGATATTTAATAATATGATTCAACCCAGTATATTGATCCTTATACAAAGGTTAATTAGTGTTTGCAAAGCTCTTTGAGATCCAGATGAAAAATAGTGTTGTATTTCTTAATACAGTATTATTATTTTCTTTAGTCATGCTTTCCTTATATGTAAGCACTGCCAAATTTAGGTATTTGGGTTTTTTTCCTTTAAAAAATCTAAACAATCATCAATAACACCTTTAAAAATTTTTTCATCAATCATCTAAATTACAGAATTCATGTTTGCCATAACAAGGGAAGTAATCCATAGATACATAAAGAGAAGATGTTAGTCTCCCAGTTTCCCCCACTTCATTCTTCCCCATGCCTCCTGAGTGTGTGATCTTACCATACTCATAAAAACATGCCTTTAATTTTATTATGTTTTCATCCTCAACCGGGGATATGTTTTTATTGAGTTTTAGAGAGAGGAAGGGAGAGAGAGAGAAACATTGGAGTAAGAGAGAAATATTGATCGGCTGCCTTCCACACACACCCTGACCAGGGATTGAACCTGCAACCTAGGTATGTGCCTTGACCAGGAATCCAACCTGTAACTTTTGGTGTATGGGACAATGCTCCAGCAACTGAGCCATACCGGCCAGGTCAAAACAAACCTTTTAAAATATGTGGTCTCCAATTTATAATTTCTACATATATTGAAATAATTCAGTTATTTTACCAAAATAACTTTCACACTAAATACATAAATCTGTCTTGACAACCACTGGAAATTTATATTTACAAGAGTCCTTATTATAAATTCTTGAATAATTGTATTGCTCTCATATTTAATGAAACTTCTTTAAACAGATATATATCCATTGTTGGCTCCAGAATTTCTTTGTCATGGAGACTCAAGTTTTCAATGTGAAGGGAAGGGCCTGATGAAGGTTATGGAGGGAGTTAGCCCTGCTTATACAACCCCTTAGCACCAACACTGTGTATATATGAGCAGTTTTCTGTGTGTTGCCATTGTTGTTTTAGAATTTTGTTTAAACGTAATGATGATTAAATTATGTACATTAAAACAATTCTTTATTTTCTTTATTCTTTAAAATTTCAAAATCTCAGAGTAAATTAATTAAATTCCTGAATCCATAGACCATTTAGTACAACAAAGAATTGTTTATGTGAATAATAAAAAGAAAAGAATTGTTCATGTAGCACCATGTAGAACTTAGTCCTGCTCATTGTAATAAAAATCTGTTGTATTGTCTGGCCGGTGTGGCTCAGGGGTTGAGATTCAACCTATGAACCAGGAGGTCATGGTTCGATTCCTGGGCAGGGCACATGCCTGGGTTGCAGGCTCAATCCCCAGTGAGGGGTGTGCAGGTGGCAGCCGATGAATGATTCTCATCATTGATGTTTCTATCTCTCTCTTCCTCTTTGAAATCAGTAAAAATATATTTTAAAAAAATCTGTTGTGTTTAGTAACTTACTTAGTTATGATTTCTTCCAGAAAATAGGATTATTCTGTAATTTTCCTGTTTGTTTATAATGTGTTTTTTTTCCAGGTTAGTATACAGTTATCTTCCTGGGTTGAAGAGGTACCACTGAACTATGATGTATACCCAGAAAAGGATATTAACAGGGAAGCTCTTGAACAAATACATTTATATAAGATTCTCTAGCACTAAAATAGTCCTACTGCAATATAATGTTTTTTGAGTATTACAAAATAATGAAAAAGAAACATAACCCCAACACCCAAACACCTATTTTTTGTGTGTATTCCTTTCTAGTCTTTGTACATGTTTACATATTTATAAATAGTTGCATTTGTATATTTGTAACTTTGATTTGTGTGATAATTTAATTAAAATACTTACCTGAAAATTTTTTGTTTTCCTCTAGTTTCTTTTATTCTGTTACAAATATAAATATGTCTTTCTTTAGTCATTAACTCTGTATACCAAGTCCAGATATAACAACAACAACAAAAAAAGACTAGAAGTAGCTTCTATTAAGAGAAGGGTGGAGCCCTAACCGGTTTGGCTCAGTGGATAGAGCGTCGGCCTGCGGACTCAAGAGAGTCCCAGGTTCGATTCCGGTCAAGGGCATGTACCTTGGTTGTGGGCACATCCCCAGTAGGGGGTGTTCAGGAGGCAGCTGGTCGATGTTCTCTCTCATCGATGTTTCTAACTCTCTATCCCTCTCCCCTCCTCTCTGTAAAAAATCAATAAAATATATTTTTTTAAAAAAACAAAAAAAAAAAAAAAAAGAGAGAAGGGTGGAGAGGAAGGTTAAGTTACATTGTATTCCAATTATTAGATCTCTGTTCTGTCAGATTCCTTTTTTTTTCTTTGTGTCAGATTCCTTATATACAGTTTTATCTGAAGAGTCTAGCACAAGGACTAAAATAAAAAATAATTACAGTTGCTAGGGAAAAGCAAAACTAGAAAGATAGCCTCCAAAATATAGTAAGTAGAGATTACTAGTATATCTAGGTGGAACAATTACTGGTGATTTTTTTTTTTCATTTTCTGTATTTTTTTCTATAATGACTATATTTCTTTTGAAGTCAGGAAAAGCAAAACTTTTTAACGAATACAATGGAACATCAAAACTTGAACACTTAAGCTCCACTGGTGTTGCTCAGTGGTTGAGTGTCAACCATGAACCAGGAGGTCACGGCTCAATTCCTGGTCAGGGCAAATGCCCAGGTTTCGGGCTCGATCCGCAGTAGTGGGTGTGCAGGAGGCAGCTGATTGATGATTCTCTCTCATCACTGATGTTTCCATCTCTCTGTCATTTTCTCTTTCTCTGAAATCGATAAAAACATTAACAACAACAAAAACTTGAACACTTAACTAGTTCTAGGGCATTACATAAAATACACATAGTATTCATCCATGAAAAAATGAGTTTATTAGCAATATGGCACATAATCACAAGCATGTAACAGTTACTGAACTTCACTTTATACTGTACTTATTCTTAATAAGGTATGTCCTAAACTCTAAATCTCAATCGCCCTAGTGTATATTTAAATGTTTCTCAGAAGCATGAACCTCTAAAGCAAAGTACGCTGCTATGGCTCTTGGTGAATGCCAGAACTCCCATTCTAGATAGAATGCCCTGGACAGGCCAGAAGAGTAGAGAACACTAGCAATACTCAGGGCCCTGAGGGGAGAAATCTATTTGTAAACCTAGTTTCAAATCATTCAGCCCCTCATCTGTAAAACAAAAATAAGAATTCAGCAATCAGTGGAATATAGTCAAAAATACAGATTATAGATGGTTACCATAGATATGTGATTAAAATTACAGAAATAACGGGCAATTGTTTAAATACTGTCACTGCTGTGATTTTAGACATGTCAAAATGAGCCATGGATCTTTAGTTGATGAGTGGAAAAAAGGTCTAAAATATTGGAAAGTATTTTGTGTGACATGTATATACTAACATATCTACACTAATAAAAGACAAACATGCAAATTGACCATACCTTCGCTACACCTTAAGCCACACCCACCAGCCAATCAGAATGACTATATGCAAATTAACCCAACCAAGATGACGGCTGGCAGCCACAGAGCTGGAGCAAGCAGGAGGCTTGGTTGCCCCAATGATGGAGGAAGCCAAGCTTCCCAACTGGCTCTGAGCTCCACTCAAAGCAACAAAGTTCAAATTATAGAAGATAAATAAACCCCAGATACCCACTTTCAGCTGGCCGTGGCCACGGAGCTGGAGCGAGCAGGAGTAGGTTGCCCCTGGCAATGGAGAAAGCCAAGCTTTCCTCTCGCCCACCCAGGCTACAAAATTTCAATTATAGAAGGTAAATAAATCCCAGAATTAAAAAAGAAAAAGAAAAGGAGAGGCTGGGAGCTTCCGTTGCCGGGGGGGCTTGGCCAGCCTGAAAACGGCCCTCAGCCCCTCACCCAGGCTGGCCAGGCACCCCAGTGGGACCCCCATCCTGATTCAGGACACCCTTCAGGGCAAACCAGCCAGCCCCCACTCATGCACCAGGCCTCTATTCTATATAATAAAAGGGTAATATGCAAATTGACCCTAACAGCAGAACGACTGGGAATGACTGGTCACTATGACACACACTGACCACCAGGGGGCAGACACTCAATGCAGGAGCTGCTCCCTGGTGGTCAGTGCGCTCCCACAGGGGGAGCTCTGCTCAGCCACAAGCCAGGCTGACGGCTGCCAGTACAGCGGTGGTGGTGGGAGCCTCTCCCGCCTCCTCAGCAGCGCTAAGGATGTCCGACTGCAGCTTAGGCCTGCTCCCTGCTGGCAAGTGGACATCCCCCGAGGGCTGCCGGGCTGCCAGAGGGATGTCTGACTGCCAGCTTGGGCCCAATCCCCCAGGGAGTGGGCCTAAGCCAGTAGGTGGACATCCTCCGAGGGGTCCCAGACTACAAGAGGGCACAGGCTGGGCTGAGGGACCCCCCCGAGTGCACAAATTTTTGTGCACCGGGCCTCTAGTTTTTAAATAAATGCCTGAGGAAAATATTAGAATGATAGTACATTTAGGAGATATCCTTATACCAATATTAATGTTCTGCAAGTTAAAGTTATTTAACTTTATTTTTTAATGTCTATATATTTGTGTAGAGACAATTACTGTAGTTATAAAAGCTAGATTCTGCCAGGCCAGTGTGGCTCAGTGATTGAGTGTCGACCTATGAACCAGGTCACGGTTCAATTCCTGGTCAAGACACATGCTCAGGTTTCGGGCTCAGTCCCCAGTAGGGGGCATGCAGGAGGCAGCCAATTGATGATTCTCCCTCACCATTGATGTTTCTAACTCTCCCTCTCTCTGAAATATATATATATGTTTTTGAAAGATAGGTTCTTATTTTAGGAGATTTTTTGGTGTTGGGAGTTTTTCACTTCTAGCTATTTGTCGCTCCTTAGCCTCAGTGACCCTCTCTACCCCCTGCTGTCCAGGCCATGTGTCTCGGAAGGCTCAGGGGGTAGAAGGGTAGTACATAAGATATATTCATATTTCAGCAGCCAAATGAAAAATACACAAAACAAAAAGAAAAACATTTTTTCATTTAGCATTACTTATGCTCAAAGAACTAAAAACATTAAGGTTACAGTAAATGTCCTTTACCTCATAAAATATATGACAAATTTGATAGAAAACAAAAAATAAAGTTGCTTATTAGGGCATTAGAACTTTTTTCTGCCAATGTTCCTTTAAAATTATTGAACTTCACCAAGTTTTGTCACCTCTTTCTTTCATCTAACCTCCAAACCCCTCTACTAATGCAGATGCCCTTGAGGTCTTATTTAGGGATACCACAGCTTAGACATTGCAGAATTTCATGAAAACTTCATAATCAGTAGACATTGTAAAGTATTTTGTATTGATGAATTTACAGCCATGCAACTATTAATTGCACTAACTAATCACACAAACATGTATTAAGCTCACCGTATATTTAGCACTCTGACACTGCAGACACAAAAATGAACACTTGGTTCCATCCTGAAGGATCTTAACTGTAAGGAGAAGCACACATTAATTAGTTTGTTTATTTACTAGAGGCCTGGGTGCACGACATTCCTGCACGGGGGTAGGAAGGGGGGCGGGGAGGGGGGTCCCTCAGCCCGGCCTGCGCCCTCTCGCAGTCTGGGATGCCTCGGGGGATATCGCGTCCTCCCCCATTGAGGGGTCCTTAGTGCTGCCATGGAGGCGGGAGCACTGTGCTTGCCAGCCAGAAGCCGGGCTTGCTGCTCCCGCCACAGCACCAGCTGTGAGCCCAGCTTCTGGCTGAGTGGCCCTCCCCCTGTGGGAGCACACTGACCACCAGGGAGCAGCTCCTGCATTGAGCGTCTGTCCCCTGGTGGTCAGTGCGTGTCATAGCAACCTGTCATTCTGCTGTTTGGTCGATTTGCATATTAGGGTTTTATTATATAAGATTTATTTACTTAGTCATTCATTATTTTTGTTACAAATGGGAAATGTCATTTTATTCAGTACATAGCAACAGGTTTCTGGACTTGAACTTGAAGACAAGTCCTTTCCACCTTAAACTGGGGAACAGGTAAGGAGGGTTTAAAATATGTGGCCCCGCCCTCAAAAAAAGAAAAAAAAATGTGGCCCAAGAAGGGACACATTAGTTTAGATATAAGTTAAGGAAAGATGGTCTTGGTAGAGGGAACAGCCTGTGCAGAGGTATACAGCATAATGAGTACTTCTAATTATAGTTTACATTCAATATTTTTTATTGGTTTCAGGTATACAGCATAGTGGTTAGACAATCCTATACTTTACAAACTATTCCCCTCCATATTTCCAGTACCCACCTGGCAACATAATTATTACAATGTTATTGACTATATTTTCTATGCTTTATCATAATGGGTACTTTCGTATGACTAGAGGCCAGGATAGGATTACATGAGGTTGGTGAAGTAGTTGGATGCCAGGTCAGGACGGGCATGGTAACCAAACAAGTTCACATTTTATTCTGAGAGTCAGAGTGAGCCATTAAAAGATTGTAAGCACATTGATATGGGCACAATAAACTTGCATCCCTTTTAAAACACCAGCATGGTATTCTGAGTCAGGGTTAGGGGTTAGAGTTTCATTTATCTTTTTAAAAAATATATATCTTTATTGATTTCAGAGAGGAAGGGAGAGGGAGGGAGAGATAGAAACATCAATGATGAGAGAGAATCATTGATTGGCTGCCTCCTGCACTCAAGCCCGCAACCCGGGCATGTGCCCTTGACCAGGATCAAACCTGGGACCTTCAGTCCACAGGCCAACGCTCCATCCACTGAGCCAAACCAGCAAGGGCTATCTTATATCTGCTTACTTTATTTGTAGCATAATAAGCTGTGGAATCTACGGTTGTGTTTTAAAAGG